GGGGAGTGAAAGCATATTCATCGAATGACTCATTAGCACTTTCCCATTTACCAGTATGAGTGGAAACCTCGTACGATTAAAGCTAGGAATTTTTTGAGTCGAAAAAGAGAGGTAGGTCGGTTTTGACATCATCTGACAAATCATCCCTCTCACTTGCTAAAAAGTTAGGCCTGGACAAAAGAAGTATACAGTTAGTTAGAGTAGGGTCTGCACTGTATGGTGGAAAAGTTAAAACTTACCAGCTCAACTGGACAATTTTTCCCGGAGTCTTTTTTTGCCACATAGGGTCAAAAACGCACCCTTTTTGAGCACACGTGAGTAGCAGATGAGCACATTTATTAGAATTTCTTGTGCAATCAACTTCGTTAAAGCGTTTGTGCATCATCAGTCACTGCTAAGGTGTCCTACCATTTCAGCACAAGACTGGTGCAGCCCCGTCTCGACTGATTTAACTAGGGCCACCTTTTTGACGACGATTGCGGGCATCACTTCAAAGACTTCACTGTCTTTTGAGAAAACTGTGAAAAACCGATGAGCATTTTAAATGGTAGTATTCCCTCCAACAAATGCAATGTTGGTTTGGTGGGCGGAAGTTGTAGCTCTCAGCAAGAATTTTGAAGCATTTGGTACACACATGCGAATTTGCACACTGGACCCAGGAATTTTCAAAAAAAGTATAAAAATTGGGGGAAAGTTAAATTGTGAACCAACAATAGAAAACAATAAGCAACATATTTCGCAGTATTAATGAGCAAAAAGGACTTTCTGAGATATTGATTTTCCATAGTAATCGGCCCCAAAACTTCCTGAACTCAGAAAAGCGACACTAAGATATCCGGTACCTAATAGCAAGAAGCAAAATCTTTTTTTTTCAAAAATGGTTCACTACTCCTTCTTTGTCCCAAGTTATTGTCGAAATTCTTCATTTCAGTAGAAAACCTCACCATAAATGACAGTAAGGATTGGTCAAATACGAAGATGGTACAGCAAGCTTCAAAACTTTAATGATGCATTGTCATTTTTCGAATATCTGCTAACAAATGAAAGCGTTGAAGTCTTCAAAAACAGTGCTGTTGATACAGAAATCATATAACATCAAACTGTCATATACATTAGGACCTTTCAAAACTTTTACTTTAGACATGTAATTGTTTGTCATTTGCGAGTCCTTCAACGATTTTTTCTCTAGATTTAATTCACTCAACGTAAGTCTCAGTCGTTGAGCTCTAAGAATGAAACATTGAGAGTTCTCTTGAAAAGTACAAATCCTAAGGCGACATTATCAGCTGATTCACTCTTCTAGAAACATGAAAATGATTAATTTCGTCTATAGCCGCTAAACGGTTGGTGCTTAGCAAAAATAATGAATCTCGTGGGAGCATAATGTATTTAACATAGAGTGTACATACACTGAATATCCTCGGAACTGTTAACAACTGTCTGTATTTCGCAGCAGTAATCTAACGTGATTTCGTCTGCCCATTCTCAACCAATGACAATAACGCATCAAGAAGTGTGTTTGCCGATTCTGCGCAAAATTATTGATATCGCATGGAACTTGGAGGCCTGTATTGGCCTCCAGTTCTGAAAGAATGTAGAAAGGCAAAGGTCAGGATTGGATGACCGAGCCAAACCCTTCGTCAATCCTAGTACGTTGGTTACGAGGACAGAGCTGGCACATACCGTTCCACAACACTCAAAATCCGAAACTGGTGCATAAAAGGCCCCAGGCAATCACAATGCGCTAGTCGCCGCCGTGGCCCGGGTGGAGGGAGGAGAGGCCGCTGCACGCGAGCGGAGCCTGGCTGCGTGCCCACGGCCTGCGGAACGATGTGTGTCGTGAGGCTTGTTGGGACGTTGCAGCTCTGAGGATATTGAGTTGCCGGTCGAATCCAACCGATAGAACGAACGTGATAATCCTTCAGATAACTTGCAGTTTGTAAGCTCGCTTTTCCAAAGCTCATGCCTCTGCTTGTTGCTAGGGAAAGAGGGTTTTGTATAGCCTGGCCTTGTCTTGACATGGTTTTCATGCGAGCTGTTATCGAGTCCAACGTCGTGGTCTACACGATCGCAATCTCTATAACTCAGAATTTCAAGTCGCCATACATACTTGTACGTTATGAGCCACACTTAGTACCGCCGGTTTTTTTAACACAATCGATAGTAAACCATCCTGTAATACTAGTAATAAAAACGATGTTCTCTTTATGGAAATCTACAAGCTGAAGCCGCACTTTGGAAATTTATGGATTATAGACCAATGCTGTTTCAGCATCATAAGACTCAGATATCCGAGAGTTGGGGTGACGTGTCACCGCGAATGACGTGCGCGTGAGGAGCTATTGGAATAACCGCGTGCGCTTCCAAACATAAAATGGGGCAGAGCAACTCGCCTGATAATCAGCGAGAGCGCATGATGCAACAGCTATCCACGGCAACTTCTATACAAGGCGTGCACGGTGCACGTATCGCCGGGAACCAGAGGTATGGGGTGTCAGTTGACGTCCTTACCCCAACGGTTCGAATAGTCACTGTACCTTACCTTGTTCGTTAACTGACAGTTACACTAAATTTCATAGAATACACAATAAGAGCATGAAGAAGCTGAAGCAGGCAAACAATGTGGACGATGATTTTTCGCACACTCAGGATGTTTTCTTGAGCAATAACACCAAATATAACAAAGTGGCAAGGATATAGATGACCTCTTAAGCGGCATAAAGCAAGAAATAATAGAAATAGACATAAGCATAATGTCGAAACACCAGCATTGAAGTGGGGCCCAGTCGGCGTTGTCACATCCCCGATACCCGCCCGCCTGCCGACCTCCTTGAAAATGTTGCCAAGCGCTCCAACGAAATTTCCTTGAAAGAATGTGAGTACGTCAAGCTTTTGGAGGCAAATTGAAATAGTTAGATTTCCTCTTCTCAAAATTAAAAAGCATTAAATTGCTCTTTCAAAATAAAAACTGATGTGTAAACCTTCCTGCCTACGCTTACATTAATTTTTTTCTGCATAATTAAAAACTCATCAAGAAAAGCTCAGACTCTGGGTCAGCGAAGAGAGCGCATCAGCTTGTTTGAATTCAGGCTTGATTTAGTACCCCAGTGCAAAGTATAGCCATGAATAGAATAGTTTCATCCCAACCGATGCACTACCTCATGGCTCCCGCCCGATTTCTAATGAAAAATAAAGAGAAAGACGACAGCCTGCATCACAGAGGTACCAGAGAGTAAGCTGTTGTAAAGCAGAAAGCAGAAAAAAGATCTAGCCTTGGTACATATGTTTTCAATTTGAAGGCGTCTTGTTGACGTTTGCTTTCATCACCGATCCTGGTAATAATGGGTGGCGGTTCCAACACAACCTCTAATGTTCAACCATCATCAGAAGATCAAATTTTCTGTTTTTCCCGTCAAAACTTCTGAATCCTTCAAACAAGACTACGGCCGCTTGTAAATATATTAGCACATTGCATCCAGTCCACAACACTGGTGCGTATGCTGGATGATGTGGAGGGGGCAGCAACTTTGTGGAAAATGACTTTTGCTCACGCAACCGCACCTTCCCCTCCTCTGCCTATGGCTTACTCCCGTTTCCAACAAAAAAGAGATTTCTTGCGCAGTTCCGAATTCATTGCCACCACAATGCCCTCGCATCTTGCGATAGCGCCTAGTAACTTACAGAAAGATCTTCACTTTACATTGTTGATCAATAAGCTTGAAAAAGAACCTGTTTGAAGTTGCATGGCATTTGTGTCGATGATTGATTGCAGCTCGTCAGCATCTGAATAGGCAATGTAATATTTGATCTACTCTTACTTATCTATGCACTTAAAGCAGACTGGATAAAGAATGGTGGGGAAAACTATAAAACGACAGCTGTGCACATATATATTTGCGAGGCCGAACTCCAAGAGAGGGGTTACGATTTTTCAGAGATACTCAATGATGTTATAAAGTAAGGACGTGTTTGCTTCCCATACTTTAACGCACATGAATCGGCAGTTCTACATAACCACCCTAAAAATCAGTCAAGAAAAGAACGGTAAACGTTCCTCTCTTTCATACCAGTGACGCGCCTAATGTACATTATTGATGTATACATACATACATATATATCCTTCTATTATATAAAGCGCTAACTTTGTGTGTCGGTTTGTGTATCTGTATGTGTGTGTGTGTGCGTGTGTGTGTGTGTGTATGTATGTATGTGTGTCCGTCCGCAAAATGAAGTGAGTGAGAAGGAAGCTCATGGGATAAACAAACCGCTAACAAATCGGGTAGCTTACAGGATTTGAGATATCAATGTTTTGTAGCAGGATAGTTGTGATAACACTCTTAGGGCTATATAAACACCTGCTTAGCACACTTCCGTTCATTCCACATGGTGCTGCAGTGGCAGCTGGAGGGCAGTGGAGAGAGGAAGGGAGGATGAGGAAGGGAAGCGAAAAATCTACCGTCATATCATGATTGTGTCCCTTCTACTGTATGAAACACCATTGTGTTGCATACGCGTCACTTCCAGGAGGTGTTGGTGTCACAGGAGGAAGGGACCATAGCGGAGGATAGAAAGCTTGCGCAGGAAAGGAAGGTCCCGGCGGTTGACGGGGGACTAATCTGGTATAATAATATAAAGTAACTAGTATCGATAATTTCCCGATTCTAAAGGACTCGGCAAGGCCTTTTCCAGGGATGAGATTCAATGCAGAAGTACAATTTTAAATGCATAACAGCCACAGACCTTATAACGGGGCGGAAGTGGTGTAGTGACAAGTGGCGCGCTCACCACGCGAGCGGTCCGGGGATCAAATCCTGGGTCGTGAGTCGCCCGGGCCAACCAGCCTTCCATCCCTCCGGGGTCGGTTAATTGGTACCAGACTTGTCTGGGAGGATAAAAAACACTGACTTGAACATCGGCTGGCCCCCGCAAGTCATTGTATAGGCCACATCGCATTCAAATGCCACTGCGAATGTACAAATGGAAGTAGAATGCGTGCCGCATCCCAAAAGGGATTGATCAACGGCAAATGCTTTATCCTTTATCCTTTTAACAGGGTCAGTGATAATGAGTAAAGGGTCGTCAGGTTCCACTGCGCCTTCCTAATGATGGAATTTTTACGATTGCTGTCAAAATACAGTGCGGCCCTGGCAGAGCCCTGCTGCTTCAATGGCCATCGTGTTCGTGAGTATGACGAACATGACCGTAGAACGACTTTTACGAGAGAGTGATCACTCGGAGCACTGCACATGAATACCCACGTCAGGGTCATTAGTGTGCTTACCGACATCAACGAATCAGACTTCCTACATAGCGGAGCCGAATGCTAATTCGCAGGGTGGGTTGGTAAAGGATATTCTTTCGAAGCAAAAATAAATACGAAATAGCAAGAAGACAACGTAAAATAATCTAGAAACGTAGGATTAACCGGAAATTTCCACTTGAAACAAAGGACATCAATTATCAGATTCAGTTCTTCAGTTCATCCCACATTTCCAGGTTTACTTTATATCTATTCACATCTTCACTAGATGATGGCACTTATTCTTCCACTGGATTTGCTCCGGCTCCTGTGTCTCACGGATGCCGGATCCTCAAACTCGATAAAGGGTAGTGCGGTAGATTGGAGGTCTTTAAACAACGTAGAGTCAAAAGCCATCTCATAAAATGAAAAGATACCAGCAAACGATGGGCGGACAGATTCTGACCATCCTTGTGAGGTTCAATTTTTGGAATGGTCTTGAAAAAGGCAAAAATGCGTGTAAAATCCAATTCAGCAAAAACGGAGGAAAAAGTCGGAATGTGTTGGCAGTAAGTGATGATGCACTTGCTGATGAAGTGAAAAGAAGAAGGAACAATGAAAACAATTGCTCTGTAGCGCTTTCTTCACCATTGTTGAAGAGCTGGAGGACAGGCAGAAATAATTCCTGGGAACACCAAGGCTCTCAAAGGAGGTTTTTGACAAGCAATGAAAAGTCGAACAAAAGGAAAACTACCTTTGTGTAGGAGCAGAGGGACCCGTAAGATCACCGTACGCAATTGTGTCGAAGGTATGACGATATGGCATACAAGATTATAAGTTAAGGAACATAGGATGTATACCGTAACCCACGTTTGCGTCAGAGCGCGGTTGCAGGCTTTCCAGTGCACAATGCCAGCACTAGTGTGAGAGCGGTCAACGACGCCGCCCCTGCTGTTCGGGGCAGCGAACCCAAAAATGGAGCGACGTCGCAGCGTTCGCCTCGCCGCTTGCGCGACGAAGCCGAACACCGTCGCAGCGTCCGGCTCGCCGCCCGCGCGATGGGGCCGAACACCCGCGACGAAGCCGAACGCCGTTGCGGCGTCCGGTGCGCCGCTTGCGCGACAAAGCCAAGCACCGTCGCAGCAGCATTGCGCCGGCGCGCGGCTGGACGCTGCGCGCGCTCCGCGCGCGAGCACAGGGAGGTGATCCCCGGGGTGCCGCCCCATCCGACGTGTGGCGACAACCGCTCGCGTTGTGTCCTCCACCTTCTACATAAACGGCGCATAGTACTCTGCGCGGGCCTGCTCGACGCATTCTCTCTTCGTTGAGAGGGTGCAGAGAAGACGAGAAAATCGATGACACGTGAGAATGCGCGCCCCAGTGCAACGTCGAGAAGGTTACGGTATACACCCTATGTTCCTGAACTTATAATCTTGTATCGTAATGCGCTTCCATCGGATACATTATAGCAAAGCTATCGGTGCGTAGCGCCCCCTCACGCTGCCTGGATATCTAGCCCTTCCGCAGAGAGAGCGCTCACTTCGGAGAGGGCAGCACCGAGAGAGTCGCAGTGATGCGGAAATTACTGACAAGGGAGGTCCCAATTCCCTTGGTTCTAGGCCGTTTTCTTATTTCCCTTCTTTCGTGCATCACTCATTATCTCTAACTTCCTCTTTCTCTATAGATTTCTTCCCAGTATACTGCCTTTTAATCGCAAAATCAGCCTTCAAGTGATTTCACGATAAGGAAAACAAGAGAAAGTAGCAGAAGAGCGAGACAGCAGACACTGTTATGGTGTGCATTCTTGATTGCTTGACTTGTCTATTGCAGGCATAGGTTTTGGTTTACGACCATCGGTTCTGAATAAGAAACTTCGCATTTCTGCTGTTGCGGAGCTCACTCGTGAAAGAGACTTGCTGAACTGAACTCATCGTGGGATGTGACTTTGACACATTTTTGAAGGCGCCCGTTCCAGGGTCAACCGTCCGTTCGCACTATTCGAACGAAGGGGGTCGCATTTTGGTCATGGGCCGAGGGAGGGGGTCGCAATTTCAAGGACCGCAACCGAAATCGCGACGGTAGTTGATCGGTGGATGAAGGACTGGGGAGGAACGCTCATAAAGAACATGAAGTTGTCATAAACTCGTTAAACGGGCCCCATTCTCGCTTTTCGGTCACTTGGAATGGACGCAATTTCGTGGACGCCGCACCAAAATCCTTCCTACATTACTTTGAAATACGAAAAAAACGTTTTGAAAAAGAGCGCCCCAAGCGCTGAATGACTACTTGAAAGATGCTGGCGGGGAGCTGGTATTGTCGGTCAAGAAACTGAGCGGTACGATAAACTCACTGAAGCCGGCGTTAGGCTGTGCGGAAAAGTACAAATGTCGATCATCGGAGCTCAGAAGGAATACGACGCCTTTCTTGCATTGATCATCCAGATGCCACAATCGACCGAGGTCGTTTACAAGCTGTTGCGATCCCTGCATAGATGTCGTTAAACAAAGGAAAATTTGTAGGGGAGGGAGGGGTGGGCGATAAAGTCACTTCTTTCCAAATTTGAAACTCAACTATACGTTGCTAAATTCAAACTGAACGATCCCATCTGGAAATAAAAAAGACTTTCCATTAAAAAAACTTCATGATAGCCTATCATTCCGGTGACATTAGAAAATTTTCTTAATTCTTAATAACTTCGTATAGCATACATTATCGTACGATTAAAACCTATGAACTATTATGAGGTCAAACTGAAACGGCTGGGTCAGAAGCAACTGCACAATTGGCAAGCTTACCAACTTGTAGGAAGCAATTACAACCTGTTATACAGTCGTTGAAAATTATGTCGGCAGACAGGCTGGGGAAGCGCGATTACAGTGGAGCGACAGGGATGGCAGACACGTCATAGGGCTACTTTTAACAATGGGGAGACATGAAAGGAAAATTTCGCCACAAAAGTTCCAAAGAGAGCTGCACCCTGCGTAAATGAAGTTTGATGATTTGCGCCATAGGGCAGAATGACTTTTTTCGCCCCCTTTCCCCTCTGTATACATCGAAAGACGCGAGCCTGTGACTGGAGGTACAGGTCGTCCAGTTGCACACGACGCTGAGTGATCAACTATCCAGAATAAAAGTAAGAAGTAAATCCAGATGAAGATACTAGTTGAAGCTTGGAAAAAAAAAGAACTAATGATCGATCCCCGAAATGTTCCGAATGCCTATTCGGAACTCAAAAATATTCATTACCGTAGCCTGTGAATGGAGTTGAATTCTCGTCGATGACGAATACGTTACTTTCGCAACGAAATAGGAGATGATGGGAAATCCACATGGAAGAAGCGAGACGGGTATTTCTTCCGTAACAAATCTTCACCTGCTCGAACTATTGCCAGCACGGCATCGGATCCCTTCCGATCACAGAAAGCGGTGCCGGCTTTCTCAGTTCTGACGCCGATTCGTTGAAGCTCGTTATTAAGGCGATATCGCGATTCAATGCTCAGAACCTGAAAAACTGCAGTATGAAATTGGATATATTATGTTCATGGGCTGTCGTGAGCTCTTCATTCCTACTTCTGACTATTGACTCCATTTTTTTTGCTATTTTTTCACGATGTGTCCTACTTTTGTGACACTATTCTCATCATTCTTATATATTTTTTCATTTCGATCCCAGTCAGCACTGCTCTGAATCCTACGAAGTCGCAACAATACATAACACTGTGTATCTAACCCCCGCAGATCATTATGATCGAAACATCTAATGTATCTTCGATGCAAAATGAATGATCTTGAAAATATCAATCAAGAACCGATTGTGTTTTTCTTGTGCACATGAGGTAAGATTCATGAACCAAGGATGAAAGCAAATCTACAAAACCTTCTTTCTGAAAACATGGTCCGTCTCAAAAGTATAGGTTTACGTCGGCGATTTCAGACTTCTATACGTTATTGTACCCCTCATTGGTTTTGACGAGTGTATTATCGTTGGGGGGAACCTGTCGTCCAAATAACCTTTGACGACAACTGGCACCCACCGTGGCGTTGCCACCTTAACAATTTACTTTTTCGCACATTTAAAAAAATTTTAGCACCATAATAATATAAGTAAGCTTCATAGTATCTATGACTAGCACGGCTTACAAAATTGTTCATTAGGAGCTAATATAGAATTTGAGAATTGCCAATTAGCCGCCGCCTATTAACATTGCGTTTGTCATTGTTAGGGCATTAAAATAATATAATTTGATTGATCAGGAGTTTTTCGTCTTTGCTATAGCCCTTCAAAGTACAGAGAGGAATGAATCTATGGAAATTCTTTTGACCACTTGAAAGTCGGAGTTTTTGCCGCGTTCTCCCAATCAAAACCCGAGTTCCCCCTCCAAATTTCGGAATTCTTTCTGAAAACAACATACAGTATGAAGCCTAGAACTGCAGTCATACCTGGTCCACTGCTAAAGTCAAAAATGCTATCGAAAAACTGCCTTGAGGGACAATTTTGCCAAATTGTGAGCGAGTTGGGGCGCGCCAAAAGAGGCGTGGTCCCATGAGCAAGCTACGCTGCAAATCAGCGATTGTTCCTAAAGGGTTAACAACAATCCAGGAACGAATTCGCGGGTAAGGACCACCTATAATGACGTTGCAGGTGAGAAGTTGGTCAATGGAGAAAGAAAAAGTAGAAAAAAACGTCGGGCAGGGGCTTAGACAGGGACTCCCCCTGCCGTTTAGGGAGACGTGTGTTGGACGAGTTGTCCGAACCTGCCCGTAGTACATGCGCTCCAATTGCTCTGCTGGCAAATAGCCATGCATGCTTGCAAATACATAACTAAATACTATAATATAGCATACATTATAAGTAAAACATACATAATAAATAAAAAAAAATACAAAACATAACTATTTGCCAGCAATCGAAATTGAAGCGCTTAAGTTGCGCTCTCATGGAATCGACCTGATACAGCGCGGCGGTCCCGCAACGACCGCTATTCGAGCAAGCGCTCTTCACAGCAGCAAGGAGGCGGGTCAACCGAGGCTCGGTTGACCCGCCCTTTTCGACGAACTTCGAGCCCTTCTCACGCATTTCAGAGGTGAGTTTTTACTTCAGTGACAGTTCCTTTCGACTTCACTTGGGCTGGGGCATGCTTCCACACCTCAGCTTTGGATTAGTTGAAACCCTCCCTGGACTGTTGCTGCATTGTCGTCAAAGGGTTAACTAACTCTTGCTATCGCAGAGGAGCAAGGTCCCCAGCGCACAGTTGTTGTGCTCCAACGTACGTCGTCACGCCTAATAAGATGTTCAGCTAAAGTGTGTTTTGCTTTGTCGATATAAAAATGGACTGTGAACAGCGAACGTGTATCTTCGTAGTGTAACCTGGTGATCCGTTGTTGATGTAGGATTACATTTACGTTACATACGCGCTATATATCCCTACACTCAACAAAATTAAAATAAACTAAAAATTAACAAACTTTGGGAGGCTCAAAAAGAGTCGGCAGGCTGTTTGGTACCCGTCGGGTACTCGCTTTCAAACCTTATGGGAGGGTCCACAGTCGGCTAGCAGTCTCAAATGAGAGTGCTTTATAGATTTGATTGAATTTCAATCTGATCAGGTAGAAAGACTGAATTCTTTTTCTTAAACAGTGCCTTTCTTGAGAAACTCACTGAGCAGTGATGCGAGAGAATTAAGCGCACAAATGGGAATAGCCTCTTGTATGGTACTGATCATGAGTCTTTTACGTGATCGGTGACCACCCTGTATATGAACGTCTATTCAGGTTGGATGTTTTTATTATTGAGCTTGTTTAATTTGCTTTGAGAAACCTCTTACGCTACAAACAGACCTCGTCCGGATCGCATACACTGCTTGCTGACCTCATATTGCACTGTTTGAAACCGCCTTTGCGTGGATTCGGGTACTGAGATGCGTCCCATCGCTGCTGTATACTTAGTGTTACCAGCGACAAGAGAAGCAGCCACATGCTAAAATTTGTAGAGGCTTGTAATGTGAGCCAAGTAAACCAATATGTAGTGAAAAGGAATCCTTTCCGAGAAATTCTCGCATCGTTTCCAGACACGAATGTCAGTTTATTCACTAGAGGGAACATATAAAGTCGCACACGCACCGCACGAAGATTCAGTTCAAAAGATGAATAACTTCATGAAAACCACACTTTACAGAAGACGACTCAAACCAGCGATTTATGGGTGAGCGAAAATCATAATTTTTCCGGAGAACAGTCCTTCAGAAACGAGGCCGGAAGTCAATTCCGTCCCGACTTTAGCGAGTATGAGTTAAGGACGAAATTGGAAATGATTATGACGGGAAGCCTTAGCAATGTGAACGGCTCCTACATTATGCTGGAATTGGCGATTATGGTGTCAGATGAAAAGAATTTGGTGAGTAGGACGTTTCGCGTAAAAGGTAAGAGATATTCAGATGCGGATGCGATGAAATAAATATTATTTTTACGAAGCAGCCAATTCTTCTCCTTTTCCAAACAAACAGAAATGGAACGCACAAGTCATTGAGGAGAATTCCACAGTAATTATTTTCCTTCTCAGAAAGTGAAGCACATACTGCGAAGATGCGACAAGAAGGGTTCGGTTTGATCCTTTAGAAAGGATAGATTGTGAAGGATCAGGTCACGCTAAGCGCATTAGCATCCTTTCGGGATTTCGCAAAAGCAGAGTTTTGCGAAACGATAAGGAAATTATAGACGTTATTTCTTATGCTTTGTAGTGAAACATGTTGCCTTCAACAGGGTCGTTTCAACGAGAATATCGCAAAGCGAAATAGTGTAGTGAAAACAACACTGTACTGCAGCTATAAACTGCTCTTCAATCTTACAAGGGAAGGATACCAGGTCGAAGTGGCCATTTGTAACGAGACACACCACTAGATGTGTTTTTGGACGCTGATCTCGAATCTGCTCTCCAAATCTGCGGAACGATTCTCTGAACGTAGTTATGAAGCGAGATAGTGCAGTGGCAGCGGCCCGGGCCGACGAACAAGAGGTCGTGAGATCGACTTCTTGGCGAGTTCTCAGTTTTGCTTTTCTTGAGAACATTGTTTAAAGGAATCTCATTCATGCTAAATCATCAGCGACTGCCTATCCTACAAGTGGATAGAGCTGGCGAAGAGCTTCGAACACTATGCGCGTCATTTGCAAATGACCGTCTCTGGTACTCGTAGCGCACGTGTCAGGCACTTTCGTGCCGAACAGATATGATATTCTTGTTCAGCGTGTCAGACTACCCCTTCCGAGGACTTTTGGTCCAAATCTAAAACTTTGACCTGAAGTTGAAAATCTGGGCACACACGACCGAATGGAAACGGCAAATGACGCGCATAGTGTTCGAAGCTCTTCGCCAGCTCTACCCATTTGCAGGATAGGCAGTCGCTGATGATTTAGCATGAATGAGATTCCTTTAAACAATGTTCTCAAAAAAGCAAAGCTGATAACTCGCCAAGAAGTCGATCTCACGACCTACTTGTTCGTCGGCCCGGGCCGCTGCCACTGCACTATTTCGCTTCATAACTACGTTCAGAGAATCGTTCCGCAGATTTGGAGAGCAGATTCGAGATCAGCGTCCAAAAACACATCTAGTGGTGTATGTCTCGTTACAAATGGCCACTTCGACCTGGTATCCTTCCCTTGCTAGTGGGAACAGGAGCACGGGAACATGCAAGGCTGTCCCGCATGACATTTTGCGGGCATTCTTAGGAGTGATAGAGCTTTTCTCGGAAAGCAAGTATGTATATGGCCATCCCAAAACGGTACTAACAAAACCCACTCTTACTCTCGTTCCATACAAGCAAATAATGAGCTTAAAAAGGCACTTCGAGATTTCCGAAAGGAATTCTTAGCAATGATGTGAAGGAACTCACTCTTCGAAGCGGAGGGCAAATTTCCTCACAAAATGTGAATGCTTAATATATTTACACCAGATTGGTATTCCGGCGCATGCACAAAACGGAGTTCCGTATACATAGTAAAGTACATCACAATAATCATTGCAATCACAACATGACGTTAAAATAGCAACTCTATACTTAAATGTTCCTAAGTTCTACTGGGGGAGACCCCTCCTCCTCCTTATCCTTCATAAAGTCAAGTGTGCGCTGAGGAACAGGTCGGCAGGGGGGGGGTCGTAGTTGACCCGCTGGAAGGGCAGGAAGAGATCGAGGCTGGATCGATGCAGTAGGATCATCACTGTCGAAGGACTTCATAAAACACAAACATCAAGGAGTGATCGATGCTATGCAAGAGTGGCCATAGGATTTCCAATTACAATGTTATTCCGCTTGTGGAACATAAAATTTTCGCGGTTCGAAGGGGTTCCTGTAGTAATTCTACGTTACCTAATTGAGTTGTCATGAAAAGTTGAAAAATCCGAATTCCGCACGTTTCTCGACGAACATTTTATCTCTTCGAATGGGTCCATCAACATGAAGGGATATGAAGCACCCGGCGCATCCCAGAGTGGCCCCAGTCAGTTATGCGCGCTTCTTTGGGCTTTTTACCCTCACTGCTATATTCGGAAATCTTATGTCGGTTACGCCCAATTCAAAAACAGCCTGTTCAACAGTTTCATGCAGATTGGTTTGGTCAAAACCCTCAGCTGATCTTTATCAGTCTCCGATATCACTAATCTCCTTCGAAGCTTTCAACATCGCGAGAAAGACATTTTGAATTACGACTGCACAGCGTATTTTTGTGGACTGAACCAAATGCTTAGTTGATATCGCAACTTGCTTCCGCACATTTCCGAGCAAGTTTGAGGGGAAACAAGAAACTAGTGCAAAGCAGGCTGTTGAGTATGTTGTATTCAAGACTTCAAAAAAGTGGAAAGGTGATTCAGTGTTGAAAAAACAGTAGATTTGGATAGAGCGAGGAACGCGCTTTCTAACGATATATAAAGTGTTAAAGTTTCTCAAAAGTGACCCAGAAATAAACTCAAAAGTGAGCTACGAAAACGTCGGAAACTTTCTGGACATCCCAATATGTCAAGGCAGATGTCACTTCCGCCTTCGATCGGTTTGGGGCTTGGTGGATGCTCTTGAGTCAGTGCATGGTAAAAACATGGCTCTTTCCTTTTCTCGCTGTGAACTCGAAGAAGGCGACTAGGGCGGGCATGATTCAATTACATTAAAGGCAAACCCCGGGATTAGCCCGACTAGTAGGAAGGATACCGCGAGGGAAATTGTAAGGTCCGTACCTACCTAGATCACTCCAGCTTGGTCGCGAAAATTGCGCGGTTAGGGCGCTAATCCTTACGGGCCTCCAACCATCGAACGCTTCCCACCCACCGCGAGATGTGGTGAGATCAGCGTGCATTGATGTAGAGATCAGCGTGCTCTCTCAAACGACGTGCTCTCTCGCGTATTTTGTCCTTCTTTGATCGCCCTGTCTCGCCATCGTACCACATCCGACCTTTGAAGGTTAAGGCCTTAATTTCAGCGTTCCCAAAGATTCTCTTGCTTTCCTTCCACTTTCAGGTCGTTCCGCAGCTAAGCTATCACTACGAAGCGCTCTTAGCACCAGTTTAATCCCGGAGTTTGCCTTTAATACAAGGAAGCACACGTTGTGCCCTCGCAACGACCTAACCATAATTGAACATAATTAGAATTTGCTGAAAGAGCTTGCGGCATGAGATCCAAAAAATACGAGCGATCTTTCGAGGGAACCTGGTCAGGGTTAGGCCGATGTCAGACTTTGCGAATCGCGCGATTCGCTACTAGCGATTCGCGCGATTCGCTAGCGTCCGCGGTCGCGTTGCGGTACCAGCCAATTGAGTGATTCACTGGCCGCGACGCGACCGCAGACGCTAGCGAATCGCGCGATTCGCAAAGTCTGACATCGGCCTTAAGCGGTAACTCTAGAATGGGAAAAAGCGGTAAAACTGAAAACGCCATGATATTGCACATATATCACTAACAAAAGCACTCACTGAATAGCTAATATCCACGACTTGAAATCCGAAAGAAAAGTGAATGTTGAAAGAGATGACGAGCAGAAGAAGATAGGCAATATGCTATAAGTTAAGCCATTCATTGCTGCGATTTAAGGCTAGTCTGAGTCTGCTTCACAGCGCTCGTAAAGTCCGTTGGAATCTCATACTCTCATCAGGCACTGCATCATGTCAAGTTCCGCTCAGGATAACAGCCGCTACAGGTACTGTCCACGCACATGTTGCTGCCATACACCGTAGATGACGCCAGGATCACCTGATCAAAGAAATTCCGGTCAGCTTTACGAGTCGAAGTGTCATTTTCCGAGCCCGTTCTCATTCAATTCGAATGAATCGAACGAATGGATCGCGCATGCGTCGCCGAATGTGAGCGGTGCACCTTATCCGTTATTGAAAATCTGCATGGACCAGGGTCAACCGTCCGTTCGAACTGTTCGAACGAAGGGGTCGCATTTTGGTCGGAAGGGGGTCGCAATTTCGAGGACTGCCAGCCACAGGCGCGTGCGTGGCGTATCCGAGGGCAAGAATTGTTTGTGCAGACCGCATTAGATTCGATTAATTATGCACAGAGAGACAGTTTTAGGCAAATTACGGTGTTTTCCTTGAGGAATAAAGAACAGTTGAATGCATCCCTATGAAAGGTTTGACTTCTCGGGGCTGAAATTAAAGTTCTTCGGGACCTGATTTTCTGAGGACGATTCTTCCAGACAACGTAAAACACATAAGAAAAGCAGAAATCTCGTGTCTTCAAAAATCGGTGAAACTCCAGTTCGGGGGGGCCACTCCATTGCTATCTTATCCGTAGTACTAGAGAGCAGTTCTTTGGGCTATCGAACACTACGATAAGATAATAAGTGAACGACTCATTTCGAGCGTACTTTTGATAAGGACCGGTGGATGTCCTACATTCCACACTACCTGCCCACATCCCATCCACTTTTCTGCACAGGTGATCCACCCTGGAGCTCCTGCACCCTTAGCCCTTTGCGGAGGTGTCCTTTCTCCT